TGGAGATCTGATTTTTTTGTAACTGCTATTTCTCCTGAATAATAATAAATGGATCCTGTTTTTTAAACTTATCGTCTGATACTTTGAGCTACAACTACGTCTATATATATATATATATATATATACATGATTGTGTGTGTGTGTGTGTTCGCCTAGGTTGTAAAACGAGTACGGAAATGTGTATACACACCTTCTAACCGAGGACTTTCGAAGAACCAAGGACATCCTCGGTTGACAAGAATGCCAGAATCGCAATCAGGGACCTCGGATCCATGTAGAAACCAATTATGTGCCAAATCTGAGCTATGTCCTCGGTATGAATATAAGTAGTTTATTTTTGTGTAAAACTGTGTATGGGCTGTGCATCTTTGTGCTAAAATTGGGGCCACGCTTCCATGCCAGAAAAAGCAAGTTCCCATTACTGCTGTTCGAATTGAACATGTGCATTCCAAATATGGTCAGAATACTATCTAGTCCTCCTTAATGCGGTGTCGGATTAAGGACGAGTGTGTTTTTTACTAACCTTATTTGGTCATGGTACAATAGTTCTCGTTTCTGCGGTATTGGGGTAAGGTTTGTGTTTTTCCATTCCCGCCATATATGGTCATAATACAATGTATTACACACGCGATTTCTGCGAGTTTTATTTACGATAACACCGAGGACTGCTGAAAGAAATTTAAATGATAATTATTATAACTTTCATGGTTACGGAAAAGAAATAAAGACCTGGTGGGTCTCCATTTTTTGGAAATTTATAACACAGTGTATCTAAAACGTGTGAAAAATCGTTTTCCTGAATTTGAACAAATGGGTGGTTTTTCTAAACGAGGTTAATTACGTTCTCCAATTTAGAGAATGCAATTAACATCGTTTGCAGCATAGGACTGCTGATTTTATGATAGAAAGCAATCCTTTAAATTTTGCTGCTTAGTTTAAACTACTCTTCTAATTTGTGAACCAATTCTCGATACCATATATAAATTAATAAGTTACATCAGAATTTGGCTTATTTGCTATAAGCTATTCTATAAAATTTGCTATTAGAACAAAACTTTAATAAAGAAATTTGTAGAAAATCCTTTTTGTACTTATTTACAACATAAATGTTCCTCATATATTTCTTGTTAAACTGATTAATTAATGAAAGCAGTTGATCGAATAAAACGTTTCTCTCAGGTTATCGAATGAAAAGTGTTTAATCATTCAAGATCTGTGAAAAATTGTATCTTTCAAATAGTTGAAAACGTAAGTTATTACTTTGTTTATATATTATTTTTACATTTTATTTTTAGCTTTGCTGAATAGTGCTGAATTTCATTTTGACGTATTTGTAACCGTACGATTTTCTGTAGTTAGATTCTGGCAACAGCAAGATATTGCTGTTCTATTCTGTTTTTGTTTCAAGAGTAATTTATTGCTCTATTACTTGATACATAAAAAAGCAGGCATCTTTTTTTGTAATATTTAAAAGACTGATATTGAGTTTCGAAATGCTTATAGTGTAATAAACATGTTTTATCAAAAAACATACCGTTTTTATTGAATTAGTATTGACCTTGGAGTATTTTTATAGGCAATTATTTGTCAGAATCATTCGATATTTCAAACCAGGTAATACTGAGAAACTGCTCGAGTGTAACTGTACTATAATGAATTATCGTAAATTTAGCTCCTTTCGAGGCATATGTAATTTTAAACGCTTACAATCATGAAGCAAAATAGTTCAATATGATCTGACATATACTGTAAAGAAGACACTGAAAGCTACTTAAAGCCAAATGCTTCTGCAAAAATGTTTTCCTGCAAACATATATAATGCGATGAAATAAGCAACAAAAATGAATAAATTTGTTGCTGTTTTTCCCATCCGCTTAAATTATTGATGCATGGTTTAGGTTAACATAATTTAATTTCTAAAGTTTCTCTATTAGGTCTTCCTAGCATGCCTTCGTAGTGTAATGGTCTGCAGGCTGGGCGCCTATTCCATAGGTCCGTCGTTTTATTCGCGATGTGGGCGTTGCTCATTTTTCATCACTCCTGCTTTAAAAATAACCTAATGACTCAAAATCTCTTATAACGTTGGTTTTATACGTTTTATGTTTATTCACAGCGTAGACAAACGTGCCAGCTTACATTTAAACAACGTAAACCAAGAGAGATAGATCACGTAAAATGTTTAAAATCAGTATGTCCGTTTGCAGTTAAATAAATTCTTAATAAGAAAGATTATAGTTTAATTTTATTTCCAGTTTCTGTAAAATCACCTTTCTGAATGATGTTATTTTATATTAAAATTTGCTCACTTAACAAAGGATCGTTATTACGCTTAAAGTATACAGTAGCAAAGTTCATGTAAGATTTTCATATATTGATTGTTTCACTTTATTACGTGATAATCACAGACGAAAATGTGCAATATAAAATTCTAAATGAATAGTTTTGCTTTTACTTGGATAAATAAATTAATTTCTGTCATGAAATTGGCTTTTACATTTTATTTCAGCTTGAAGTGTATGTAAAATGTTTAGAAAAAGAGATTTTTAATATCTAAATCATTCCTTTGATTCACAATTCGATGCTTCATTAGGAAAAATTAAAATTTTTTGCTTACAAATTTTAATTTCATTCACTGTTCTAGAATCTTCCTTTATACATTAGAATGCTTTTTAGAAGATTGAACCCACATCAAACTTCCATGCAAAAATTATCTACTGAACTGGTATTTAAATATTTTAGATCGAACTCAGTATGAAGATAAGGGTGGAAATGCATCTTTAAACGTACCCATATTTTATAAAATATGATTGCGACAAAAATCATAAAAAAATATTTAAAGTTAATATTAGAACTGAGACGTAAAATTAGAAATACTTCTATCCTATCCATCCTCATGACCTTGAGGAACTTCGCGCATATATTACATGCGTTCGACTTTTGCTCTGTTTAATAAAGCGTTAAATACGCCTGTAACTGCTTATCCAAACAAATTGCTTGTCATTAAAACTGGCTCGTTTCCGTGGGAATAAGTACTTGAATGATTCGTTTGGAGACAAGGTTCTGAAAGGACCGTATGAGATTGGCGGTACAGGCGTCAGCTTATATACACATAACTCATATCTCGATTTAAAAAAAAAAAAAAAGAAAAAAAATTTGAATTAATTTTTAATATTTATGTAATATAAGTCATAACGTATTATTACCAGTTGTAATAGTGCATTATTTATATTTATTATTTATAATGTGTTTAATTTTGCATTAATAATAATATAATGTGCATAATGTGTAATAAGTATAAATAAGTGGATAAATAACATATAAAGTTCAGTGCGAATATCTTTAGTTTTAATTAATAATCTATGATCGCTGCAATATTTTGATGGCGTCAAAATATGGTGCAAATTGCAGTGTAGCTGTATACAGAGTAATTCAAATAATGAATTACATTGCCTGTTTGATATATAACAAGTATTTATGATAAAGGACTCTATACAATATCTAAGTGAAGAGCAAGTATTAGAGCTTTACTTACGCACGGAATATACCCATTCAATAAATTAGTATAAATTGGGAGAGAAAGATTCCAATGTAAATTTTAAAATTAGAGCCTTAGTTTGACGTAGCTTTTCAATAAAATTTTATTCCGAGGCTGATTAGAATTAGATTCTATTCCGAGGCTTCTTCGGGAGAGGCTTAATTTTCTTCTTAAAAATACAAAGCTGATTTTGATCACCCTTGAAACCGATAAACTGCTATTCGAAATCTATGCGAAACTATGGTTGTTGCTTTGCCTTATAAGATATTTCTCCCGCCATCCATGCTTTCGTGGTCTAATGGTCAGCACACTCGGGAAATATAGTGCCAGTCAGTGAATCTGTCATACACAGATTTCCACATCACCCATAAGGTACTGTGTATTGGGTTGCGTCACTATTATTTAACGTAGGCCTACGCCACGAAACATTGCCAGCATAAAGCTAAGGTTTATATATATTTAACTAATATCATAAGGTCATGAAAATAAATGTTATTTTGTCTTTGTCATCAATTTTTTTAATCAATTATAATTATTAGTCCAAAGGGATTTGAATCCCGAAGGACTATTAGTTTCGTTTTGGCATTTTGCGTCGGACTCATAAATGTCGGATCACTTTTCAAACTGTTGCCACAAAATGTTAGAGTCCTGCATTATATTTGAAGAAATTAAATAATGAAAAATCTGCATAAATGTATGTATATTTCTCGTATTGTGATAAAACAACGGTACATAGAGTCATCGAATTTTGAATAACGTAATCCTCCAACGAATATGAGCATGTGGAAGACCAAATTTGAAATTTGAAATTTGTTTTATGATCGATTTCCTATTTTTTAAAACTTTGACGAATTTTTGATTAACAAACTCAAGGATTTCAAAGCGAGCAGCAATGGCAACGTTGTGCAGAAAAAACATTTTTATCTCCAGCGCGTGAGTCTCTGTATCGGAAATTCTAAAGATATGCTCGTTTTAAAACTATTTTGCGATATTGCTGTTGCAACTGGATCTTATGGTTTAAGTGCGAGGAAGGAATATGATATTTAATAAAGAAAGGTAACACACAAAATGTTAAAAAAACGCCCCTTTGGACGTAATTTAAAATCTGAAACATTTCAGATTTTTTTTTTTTTTTTTTAATTTACTTTTTTTTTTCCTTGATTTTTTATGCATGCTGATTTTTATAAATAACAACATTTTTACTTTTCATCGCAATAATTTCTCTTAATAATAATTTTTTCCCATGAAACTCGTCATAACAGTTAAATATAAATGTTATTATTAACCTTATCATTTTAATGTTGTTTGTATTCATTGGATAGATGCAAGTTACTTACCATTTTAATAATTTTAAAGGAAAATGCATTCTTTGGCAACATTGTATTTCATATCTAGTTTTGGCAACAATAAAAGAAAATTCTGACCTTGGATTTTTGAAAACCAAATGTATGAGAAACTTCTATCGTATAACAAAAATCCATTTTGGACAGGATTTACGTAAAATTCGTTTTCAGTGCTCGTCTACATCGTGGAATGAGTAGTTATACAAAATTTCCAGTCGGATGTATAGTTTCGGAGATCTCATGATGAGTGAGCAATATTTCGCTTATAGATAGACTACATAATTTCTTTGAAATGGGTAAGCATGCTGACATTTGCCTCAATCAATATTAAAAATTTGATCAAGAATGCTTTTTCCTTTGAACATTGTCTGGCAAAAGAAATATTTTCATGAATTTTCAAATGTATATGTATGTCTAACATTTTATTTGCTGCTGAAATTTTTTTTTCAAACTATACCTCTGTAACAATATTTCTACTGTCTCCAAATTATTGCCCTAGTTAATCAGCTTGCATCCAAAAGTCATAAAATGAAAAATCACACATTTTCCCCCCCTCCGTTCGCACAGAGTTTCATAAGTATTCATAAGATCTTACGAAACTGAGTCAAACATATATGTTGTTTCTAAGTTAATCATAAATCACACTTTAGTAAATGAATACGAAATGAAAATGGCTTAAAGTAAACTTTTCTTTTAACAAGGGATATTTTCATCGTAAGCGAGACCAGTTTCTTCCAAAACTAATGCGGGATAAAACAATTTTGGTGTGATTAAAACAAATTGTTTGATACATCATCTTATTCTTTCAAACAATTAATACAGTTACTTGTTTTTATGTATAGTGTTACTTTTTTTACTCACATATACAGTGGAAATTGAATATACAATATGGATCCAAATGGATTTTTTTCTCATATACTGACGGTGAATGCCTTTGGGATTGTTATTCCTCGTGTTTCTGATTACCATTTTTATTTATATTCTCATAAATACTGTTACTTTTAGGGATGGTGACAGTTGGAGACTTTACAGTATTTTTTATCGAAATATAACCTGTGTTGCTGCATTTAATCCCAGTAAACACAGTTAATTTCTTAATGTTACAGATTTGAAAGAAATATGATTATTCTGATAATGGGAAAACACCGGTTCCATTTCAGTTTCGCACTCAGATACTAATATTTTGTGCATTTCACGTTCACAGTAGTTGCCATTTATTATTGATTTCATTTTTACGCCAGTTTTAATATCTCATAAGGATGATCCGTTTTGATATTTGTGTAGTAAACTTTACTGCGATATCTGTCAGCTCATTTTCTTTTACTCTTACATGTTCAGGCACCTAGCAGTAAAGGATACAGTATCCATGGCACCATATATCTAAATCCAACCGCAAAACATCAAAAATTAGAGGATTTAGATATAAAAAAAAATTTAAAGGTTTCCGCTCTCAGTGAGATTCGTTATAAATAATATTTTTTTTTCCAGTTCAGTTTTGATATAAATAGGACATAATGCAGAGCAGCTAATTCAGCAGTGAACGCAAAGCAAGCGTCATTCAATCATCTACCTTCCATATGGTTTTCAATTCCAACATCACCATCCAACATAGGAATGGCACCAAAAGTGTCATTGGTGGCCCACCGTATCATATCTGATGTGCTGAAATGGAATGTTTTGTTTCAACTTATTAAAAACTAAGTCATGCGCAATTTTAAATGAGCATATATTATGTAAGAATGTTTAGAAATCTTATTGAAAGGAATCTCATGATAATCTTGTTGTTATGAATGTTATTATTTTATTCTTATGAATGTAAAACACTCGATGATTCCAACTCGGGTTCAGAATTTAAAAATGTTTCACGCAATGCAAGCAACTTAAATAAGGTATAACTAAATAAGGAAAATAAGGTATAAGAGACACTCATGTTTAAATTCTCAAGGTTTGTTTGTTCTGTGTTGATTTTGCTTTATTATTCTACGAAAATCAAATATATGTGTAAATATATATATATATATATTGTTACTTATTTGCACGTAATTTATCAGCCCAAACGGCGGTAATCCAGAAGACCTATTAATTTCGTTTTGCGATTTTGAGTTGAAAACTTTAAATTTCAGTTCACTTTTCAAACTGTTGCCACCAAATATTACAGTCCCGTCGGTATCTCCTTGTAATGGTTGACCATTTTAGTAAGTGGACCGAAATTGTTCCCTTAACACGAGCCTCTGCGAAATTAGTTACTGATTCTATTTTAAATAAATATATTTTAAACTACCCCTAAAAGTTATATCGGATAATGGTCCTCAATTTGTAAGTAATATATCTGAAGACATTAGCCAAGAACTGGGCATACGTCATTTAAAAATGGTCCCGTATTGGCCGCAATCAAATATAGCGGAACGGGTCAATAGAAATATAGTGAAAATTATTCATAGTTATGTTAAAATGTTTCCTAAAAGCTGGGATAACTATGTCAATGAATTAGCTTTCGCCCTTAGAACCGCCAAACATGACACGACGGGCAAAACTCTTGCTGAGTTATTTTTAGGCAGAAAGATTATTTTATGTTCAACAAAGAACCCCTGAATTTCAAATGGGCGATATAGAAAAATTAATTAAAGAAGCGAAGAAGAACACTGAAGTAGCACAAAGAAAACAGAAGTTGTATTATGACATGAAACGACGGGGAGTAATTTATAAAGTAGGATATGAAGTGTTAAAAATTAAGAATTCACTTTCTTCAGCACCAGAAGATAAAATTGCAAAGTTCTATCCATGATTTGAAGTACCTTATGTAATTGAGAAAGTAACTCGGGGTGTAGTGGTGTTAAAAGCCAAGAATGGTGAAACCTGCACCGCAAATATTGACCAGATCAAACCATTCTATAATCGTAATAAGATGCAAATATTTAAAGATCTTTTGCAGGATCCGGCACGGCAGGCACAATTTCCAGTGGTGGCACAACGACTACCACAAGGGCCAGCCATGAGTAGAGAGGTCTATACGAAAAGAAAGTTTCCCCGTTGGAAAACTGAAGGTAACAAGAAAAAGAAGCCGTTCCACTAACCAGAAAAGAGAGGAGACGATCAACCCCAACATGAAGAAGGGAAAAATTCTAGTAATGCAAAGAACGCCAGGAGAAATGGCAGCAACCATAACACTGCTCCAAAGCGAAACTAAATCTTCTAGAGTCAATATATTTTAAACATCGTAAGAAGGATACTCAGTTTTAATAAAGTTATCCGTGTTATGGAACCAAATATTTTATCCTCCACTTAACGAAGGAAGAATATTCGTGTGAAAACTTTTGCGAAAACTTTGCAAAGCAAAAAAGCAAAAATCAGTTTTTAATTTATATATAAAAGGCTTCAGGCTTCCCAAATCTTCAAAATATTTATCGAATGTTACCAACTTTCACTTTAGACATAAAAAAATAATAAAAGAAATGGTAATACCATAAATATACATACATTAGAATTTTTTGGAAGCCAGAGAGATGAAAATTAACAACCGCCTTCGCCAGGAATCCAACCACAGACCTCTGGAATACCGGCCCAGCATGCTACCGTTACACCACGAAGGCACGCTAGGGAAGTGTGAGAAATACCTTATATACTCCCCTTTTTAAAGGGTGACTAGGGTTTTAAGGTACCTACTCGCCAAATCCTACGTGCGGAGAATCATCATCCACAACCCTTTTAGTTCGGGCGCCACTTGTAGAGACATTAGGATTTTTTTGGAACCCAGAGAGATGAAAAATTAACAACCGCCTTCGCCAGGAATCGAACCACGGACCTCTGGAATACCGGCCCAGCATGCTACCGTTACACCACGAAGGCATGCTAGGGAAGTGGGAGAAATACCTTATACACAAACCACGTGAAATGCATCTAGGTATGTAGGACTTAATTTCGTATTTTAAAACTGAAAAGAAGAACATATTCTTGCACTTAAAGATGGTGAGAAATAAATTTTATGATACGATAAATGGAAGACTATGATCCAAAGTCGTATTATGCAGGGCATGGAGCGCAAAGTTACTACAATAATTAGTTTTTTTTTTTTTTTTTTTTTTTCTGGATTCTAATTCTAGATTTTTCCTATTGCTGCCCAGACCAATTACAATATGAAAACACGAAGGGGGGGACTGAATCATTTTTTCCACCTTTTTTTGTCGATCGCTACTATTGACCGACCTTATGTTATTTATACCCAATAGGCCACTGTAATTAAAGTTTTGATCCTAAAATAATCCTCCGTTTTTAATAGTAACTTTTTAATTTTCTTTATTAATATAGAGCTTTACACTTCTTCGGAAAGTTGCTTAAGTTTGTATAAATTACATGAAGTTTTTTTTTTATTCCTGGAGCGAGAAACTTGAAAAAATCACCTATAATTTTCTTAATTAATCTAGAGCTTTATACTGTATCAAAAAGCTGCTTAAATATGAATTTTTTTTAATGTATCAGTATTGAATTTTAGCGAAAATTAATATTTCAGTTTGCAGTTTAAGCAATACAGTATACTATTTGAAAGTAAGCGTTTTTATAGAATGTAGAATTTATAGTGAGTGGCGAATTGAAATCGCAAGTTTCAAAAGTGACCTTAGAGCGTCGGCACCCTTATTCCCTTTTCCGCTGTTTATGAGTTCAAATTTCTGACTGCATTTTCGAGCGGTGAAAGGTCTTTTGGTTTATTCATATCTGAAATATAAATAGAACTTTCGTATTAAGAATCAGACGATATTTTCATTTCGCATATGTGTGATGAAATTCATTCTGAGGAAATGCGAGTAATATAAAGAACCCTGCGATGTTAATAATTGCAATAGTTAATATTAAATATTTATTTAATGATGCTTTTCATTCAAAATGTCCCGAAAGCGTAATATTTATGATTTTTCATAAAATATTTCAAAACATTAATATAGAAAATTTGATAATGTATCAATATCATTTCACCGGAAAACTGTTAAAAATAAATTATTAAAATCACAATAAACAATATATAATAAACCTTGTTTAATTTGCGAAAAAGTATTTTGTTTCTTAATCAGGAACAATAATTTTATTCGCTAAAATTCTCAATGAAATTCAGACTACCCTTGATGTGAGATTTAGTAAATGTGTCATGTGTCAAACAGCACTATCATAAAATAGTTGCTTTAAAATAGGAGCTTCAAGGTTATTTTCCTCCGCCCAGTATAGCCAAATAGTTAGTCCCAAATAGTTAGAAAATATTCTTTATTGATATTGTATTGGAAGTCAATGAAACTAATTTTTCTATGGT